CAGAAGTACCTCCTCCGTAGTTACTTGAACTACCACCCCAGCCATACCCTCCTGCAAAACCATCATCACAAGAATACTGGTGAGAATGAGTTTCACCGACCGGCTCGGTCTCGACATACACCTCTGCAAGCCGCACCCCGTTGTCAGATAGGAACTGTATCATCATGTTCACCGAGTCATCATCATCTATGACAACTTTTTCGTATTGGATAGCGGTAAGCAATTTGACCAACTCTCCTTTGCCCGCCCGTACAAGTCCTTTCTGCACAAATGTCATGGAGTTCTTGCCACGAGAATCTCGACTCAATTTTTAGCATATGGATTCGCCATTTTCATAGTCGATCCCAATGTTCGAGTTTGTCACCCGACCATTCCACCGAATAATAAGCCGAAACTTCTTAAATTTACCCATGTCTGCAATTTATAATAATTAAGTATAGTATATAATAAGTACATTACGGATACAAAAACAATATCATCCAAACCCATAAACAAACGCATGTAATTGATCTATCACGAGAAAACTAAGCAAATTCATCTAACTTCATAACTAACTAACTAACATCTATCATATCATAATTAATCTAAATATATCATAACATTTTTTCCAATAACCGCAATTCACTAAATACAGAGATATTAATACTAACACATCAACATGTAAACAATACATAATGATAACATACCGAAGCCCGATCTATCATGAGAAAACTAAACAAATTCATCTAAATTCATAACTAATTAACTAACATCTATCATATCATAATTAATCTAAATATATCATAATATATTTTCCAATAACCGCAATTCACTAAATACAGACATATAATTACTAACACATCAACATGTAAACAATACATAATTATAACATACCGACTCCCGATCTATCATGAGAAAACTAAACAAATTCATCTAAATTCAGTACTAACTAACTAACATCTATCATATCATAATTAATCTAAATATATCATAACATATTTTCCAATAACCGCAATTCACTAAATACAGACATAGAAATTACTAACACATCAACATGTAAACATTACATAATTATAACATACCGAATCCCGACGAGTTTCTTGAGCAGTAAACCAACTCCAAACCAGCTGAGAAAACGACTAATAAAACACTAATTTTTGTACTAATTTTCTGTAAGGTAGCAACAGGGGAAGTGGAGGTCAGTATTTATAGGAAAATTATTTAGCAATCACCGCTGAGGACAATGGCGGTGAACACATCACTGTTTTTGTCCAAAGCGGTGATAGCTAGGTAGCTGTGACCTAATTTCCCACCTACCAGGGCTCTAAAACGTGTCAATTATCACCGCTTTAATCTATGGCGATGATGTGATCGCTTTCGTCAACAACGATGATAAGGTCGACTATCACCGTTTTGCAAAAACGCGGGGAACTCATCACCGTTTTGGTTGAAAGCGATGATGCTATCACCGTTCTTGACCAAAACGGTGATTGCATCACTGTTTTGGTTGAAAGCGATGATAGCATCACCGTTTTTGTCCAAAACGGTGATAGCATCACTGTTTTGGTTAAAAGCGATGATGCTATCACCGTTTTGGTCAAAAACGGTGATTGCCATCACTGTCTTGGTCTACAACAGTGATGTTGAAACTGCTGTATTTTGGGAAATAAGTTTATAAGTACTGTATTTTGGAAATTTTTTTAATAATTAGAGTATTTTGGGATTTTTTCCGAAATAGGTATATGGCATGACTGCAAATCAAGAAGCCATGCCACAAAAAGCATATGTCCAAGAAAATATTAAAACAAAACTACTTACTCTGCAAAGAAAACTACTCATGGCTGTCTCAAGGTCCATTGCCGTCTCGTGACAGACACCGTGGGCACAAGTAAGAGCTCCAAAAAAGGATCGGAGAAGAGAAGCCACTGATCTGGTTGACTCGGCTGTTGGAAAGCCTACGGCAGTCCACTTTAGCATTAGCACTTATCAATTGTCATAGAAATTATGTATGCATTAATTACGATGGACGTGACAACCGACATACAATTGTTTTCACCTAGTTGGCATGTTAAGTGTTAACAACGTCCGTACGTAATTCTTGTGATTAGTACTAATCTTTTTCTATTAGTTCATATTGAAGGAACATGTTGGTTCATGATCTGCCAGGTTGATTAGCACATTAATTAATGTGTGACCTTAAGCTAGTTTTCACACTTGAGTTATATGTGCATCATCTCGCATGTTATTTGTGATTACAAATTGAGTTAGGCGATGCTCTTGGTTCTTGATTATTTCACCTTTAATTTAATATCAGTAAGTAAATCGATCGATACTTGATCCTGACTTCTTTTCGTCCTTCTGTTTATACCGGACATGAGTTTCATGGAGGTTATTGGTTGTGATAAATTACACAATGGCCTCTGTGCAATGAATATGGCTCTAGCCTCTATGTGAGTAGTCCATCAAAATTGTTGTGTCGAACACAATTGACTTCACCATAGACATATATTGTGGGTCATGCACAAGCTTGTGATAGTATATATGCCATTTTGCACAATACAAAGCATTTCCTTCTCGTATGTAATTATGTGAATATTTAACCATTTCACCGACTATATGTTGATAGTTTTTAGATCCGAATTCTCAACCTTCTTAGAATAATTTTCTGTAATTCCTAACTATTAACGTAGATGATTTCAATCAAATAATTTGGTTGATACTTACGTAATAAAGGTTGATATCACCTACGTTCTCTGTCAGTGCCGTATTTTTACTTCCCAAAGTCGGATATCAATCATGATTCATAAAGCTCGTTAGGGGCAACATTGGCCGTCAATCCACATTCAAGAAATGAATATCATCAATAAATTTTTTATTATTAGTTACTTAATCACTGTTAGCAATTGTGATTAACGTCTGGTTAGGTATAAAGCTAAGTATAATACCTCGATCGGATCTCTAATGCTTTTCTTGTTAGCAATGGAATGTATCGGAATAAGAGGCAAATGCCAAACAAATAAAGTGATTTGGCACCGTGAATCACTGGAAATTAAACAGACAGAGATCTAGCTAGTACTGAATTAATTAGAATCTTCAACTCTGGAAAGTGATTAACTTGAAGTTAATTATACATTAATTAGAGCGTGTCCATATTGAAAAAGTTGCATGGACTTATTCGTTACTTGAGGCAGCCTCGATCCAAAAATGCTAAGTGGAGGATCGATCGGAAAGCAAAGTGAAGAATGCAACCACCTTGGGATTCAATGGGAACAATTTTAGTTAATTATATTTAAGGGTAAAACTTAGTAGGAGGAAAAGAATACAAACTGAGTTATCAAATTGTGTACCCAAAAACATTATGGCATAACATTGGGATAAAATATTGAATTTAATGTTTTCCTGGAAGCAGAATACAAAAGTTGTTTTTTTAGATCGTATAAGTTGTTATAATAATTTAATTTAAAAAGTCTATGACCAAATCTTTATTCATTTTTTATTCTCCTATCCATTTTCTCATAGCTCAACACCGAAATTTATTGTCAATATTAATTTTCATATATTTTTTCTCTCAATTTTCTCATAAATCGTAATGTCACGTTTTTTCTCCTAGTATTTTCCAACTTTTGTCGTAGTCTCATAATTGATACTAAATGTGACCTAATGAACAGGGTCGTCCCATGATATGCAGAGGCCCTGTTCGACAATTTAAAATGTGGCCCCGAACTCTTTTCTCGTAAATTATTATAAATAATAATTATTAAATTATAATAAAAATGACATAAATTTATAAAATGATTACAAAAGTAATAACATTATCTATCATTGTTCAAAAAGTAACGATGGTTATTATTATTTGAAATAAAATCTTCTACTAGCCCATTCATCTTCTTTATATCTTTTGAAAACAAAATCAATCCATTTATTTCTAAAATAGCATCATCAATAATCATATCTTTGGATTGTAAATGTTTACAACTGAATTTGTTGGAAAGTTGGGAAATTTTGGAGAAAGAGAAGAAGAGAGGTGTTAATTCTACAATTATTACTTCTAAATTCGTAAAACAACTCTTAGCTTAGTGGTTGAATCTCTTTTCAATAGGAAAGAGGTGCATGGTTCGATTCCCTTCCCTGCTAGTTAGTGTTGTTTTGCGGCTCCCCTATGAGACGCAGATGGGCTCTACCCCACCTCCGTGCGGGCCCTGCCATCCCAAGGAGCTGCTGCTCCGCTATGAGGCCCATGTTGGCCCAATCCTGCCTACACTGCCTACAGACTTCTGGATTCTGAGGCCCCAAAATATTGAGGCCCTGTGCTGTGGATCTGACCAGCACAGGGTCTGGGCCGGGCCTGCTAATGAAGCAACTAAACACAAAAAATTGTCAACTTTCGTTGATTTCTCAAAATTACCAACTAAACGTATTTATTTCGTTTTCATGATATTGTGGTTGTACCTCTTTTGTCAGGATATCATCCTCGAGAAGGATGGGAGGCTGGATTGCAGGAGGCAGTAAGGAAGTTGCAGGGATGTTGTGTGGGCAGATTACTTTGGAATTTCATGATTAGTGAGATTTGGCGAGAGAGATGTTGCAGGGTGTATGGAAAGAAGTCTCTCAATGCAGCAGGTTTCATCATCAAACTGAGAACTACAATGGAGGACCTGATGGCTGGTAATCTGCAGTTAAGTTTAGCAGTAGAGAGGAAAAAACTTTGGTTCGTGTAACTTAGATGTAGTGTTTGTAGTGTTTGTATCTCGTTATTACTCAGTCAACTAAGGAGTAGTGAGGCAGAAGGTGATACTGTATGATAGTCTGTTTATAATGACTGTACTTTGATGGAATAAAACTGCTTATTCATAAAAAAAATTAAAATAAAAAATAGTGCAACCACCACAACAACAAAACTGTACTAAGAACTGAGTGATTGAAGTGTGTTTCCATGGATTCGGATCCGTTTCACCCCAACGTTGCACACGGGTTTTTGGTGGGATTTCATTAATTGCCAATTTTTTTATTTTTTAATTTCTTTATTCCTTAATCCTTTCTTCTTCCTTTCTGTACCATCGCACAATGTTCTTTCTTCCTCTTCCTTTGTGCGAAATCCCAACGGCGACCCAATCCCAGCGACGACCCAATCCCAACGAAGACCTAGGCTTTCTTCCTCTTCCTTCTCGCAATCCCTGGGATTTTCTCTCAAATCCCAATCCCAGCGAAGACCCAGGCTTCTTCTCGGCGGGGCAGGGACATGGCGGGCGGTCAGAAGAGACGACTTCTTCTCCGGGTTTGACCGGCTTCTTCTCCATCCCAACAGGAGAGGCGGCAAGGAGTGATTCGCATCCAGATCTTTCCCATCCACAGGAGAGGGGCCATGGAGTGAGTCGTCTCCGATTGGACTCGGAATTACCGCCGGTGAAGGAAGCTTTTTCTTGTTTTTCTTCTTCTACAATTCGTTGACGGTGGCGGAGAGGAGAGGAAGGGAGGCGAGGAGATAAATCGAAAGGGATGCCCCTCCTGAGCCATTTTTTTTAGATGGACATAGAATTGATCTAGATTCTAACCCGAGAGTTGCCAATGCTAGATATGAAGAACTAAACGCGTTGTGTTTGTTGTTGATAATTCTAGAAGTTACAAACTAAACACGTTTGTTGTTTTATGTTTTTCTTCTGTTGTTGTGTTTCTGTTGTCACAATTTCAACACAATCACAACAACAACAAAAAGATACTAAACAGGGCCTAAGCATCTCATTCAACAAAAAAAAAATACAGTATCATTTAATCATATATTTTAATTTTTAAACTAATATACAATTAAATTATTAGAAACATTGGAAAATAGTTTTCATCTCTCTATTCCAAAGTTGTCAACCCGTGGGTCGACCCGAAGGAGAAAACGGGCTATGGAAACCCGTTCTAAAGATAGCCCGAAATAGTCAAACCCGGATTGACCCTGTCAAAACTCGGCGGACCCTGGCGGTTGACCCGATCATAATGGATACCGGGTTCCCGTTGGAACTTCAACGGCGTCAGAAATCACTCCTTTCTCCGGCCAAGCAGCGGCAGCTTACGACGTAAAAGCAAGTCGCTGCAAGTAATATGGTCGCCTTCTGCTTGGCATACGAACAGGCCTTGTAGCTCCGAGGGTCAATTTCACCTCACCTGTGTTTAAGGATCTCCGATTTCAACTCAACTTCCCCCAAATTAATATATAATAATGATAATCTACAGAACGGTAAAAATACGACAAGAAAAGAGCAAGGATAATACTAGATGGACGCTTCATTTAGCTTTGGAAGTTCATTCGTTTTTTGGATTTATTGTTACAATTTATTTAATTTTTAATTGTGAAGCTGGCTTCTGACAGTTAATGAACCCCTTTCCATATTTCCGGGGTATACCAGGCTAGACCGGGCAAAAACGGGTGACCCATCAACCCTTGACCCACTAGGTCGATCGGGTCTAGGTCGACCCGTGGGTTGACAACCTTGCTTTACTCTGATCGTCTCTACCCTAGTATCACGACCGCTCTCATTTTTTCTCCTCTTCTCTAGTCTCATCGCCGACAATCCTCGAAAGAACCGTTTTGTTACCGAGCTAAACCGGTGATTAGCTAACTCACCGAGCGAATCAAAGTGAAGGAATTCGAGGAAGCGGCGAACGACTGCTACTTCATGGAGTAGATATGGAAGTTTCTCACAAAGATCGAAGAAATTTTCCTGCTAATGAACCCTAATAATTTTACTTAAGACGAAGAACCAATTTTTGATCCAATCAACGACGAAGAGGGAGCAAATTTGATTTCAATTGAGGTTGCTAGTAAAGAACAAGAGGGGTCGACGGGTCACGTTGTTGACGCATTGACCCGATCCTTCTTGGAGAAGACTTATCACCCCAACTTCAATGATGCCAAGACATTTGAATTATGGGTGGGCATTGGAGTGGTCGGACCGCACCAAATCGCAGCGAACCACATATGCGGTCAAACCGAACTACACTGGCTGATACCTCTGTGGCAGCTTCACTTAACTGTTAAACTTAATAGGGGAAAACTCGATTAAGTTTTATGGAATGAAAATTGTCTACATAAATACTCAAATCTAGCCAACCACAAAGCATAATCCCGGCCACTACTCTACCCATATCTCTTAATTTCAGCAACTAATGAACAACCACTATCTTGTTGTTAACTCTACAACAAAACACCTGCACTAATGAACACGACTAACTAAAGACCCAGCCACTTAAGCCCAACAAATCCTCCCCTAAACTCAAAATCTTTCAAGTTTGAGTTTATCAAACTTTAGCAGATTGATTCTAGGCTGAGAACCCAAGGACAACAACACAATACTTGTTGTTGTACTCTTCTATTGAGCTTTACTATGTTTCCTTGCTGAACAATAATAAGGATGTAAACATGTTGCCCCTTGAATGTTTGATGTATCAGTCCTCCAACCATCTATCTCTAGTTCAATATGCTTCCTTTTAGCATTGAAAACCTTCACTTCCTTGACAAACACTTGCTTCTCAAGTCACATCAGCCTTTATTCCCCTCACAAGTCACACCTTCAAACAAAATCTACTCTTTCTACATTAAATCCATTCTCAGCTTCACAACTTCTACAACATCATCATTCAACACAACAACTTCAATCAGCCGTAATTGCAACTTCAAATTTTCCAACAACTTGAGAGTTTGCAGTAACACTATCAATCAACTCGCACATTTGATACTAGCCTCCAATGAGATTGGCTTAAGTTCAACTTCACTTTCTTTTAACGTCTTCCTCGGAAGGCATCCCAACTGTTTTCATTTCCGGTTTCTTCACTGTACTCTCTAGACCTGTCCTCTCGGTCTCTCCTTCTATGTCATCTGCCAACAAGCGAGAGCTGCACCTCAAGGTGCTATTTTTAAACTCTCAAATTTTTACTTGTTGCATGACATAGCAAACGAGTACTTCTAAACCAGCCATTCGCCCACCGAATAAAGACCTGCCACTTTGCTGCCTACTCGTCGAATGACATTGAAACCAAACCTGCTTCACTCACAAGTTAAACCACCTACTTCACTCGTAGGTATGTCTAGCTGACATTGACACCCAACCTGCTTCACTCACAGGTTACACCACCTACTTCATCCTTAGGTATGTCTAGCTGACATTTCCTTAAACAATTCCCCGAGCATCCTTGCACAACCATGGACTCCCATAATCCAATTCATCATTCCTCAGTATCTACTTTTCTAGAAAGCCTCCAGTTGAACTAATGATACAATCCCAGTCACAACCTTCATAATATACCTTGGCAGCATAAAACACACACACTATCCATCTTGCAATCACACGCTGACATTCCCTGAGAATCTACACAAACAATTGCTCTCAAGTAACTTACTTTATCTGTTTCTTCTTAAAGTTGCAGCTCCAAAAGGTCCATCATAAACCATCACAAAATCCATCATAGATGCAACAACAAATAGACCAAAAATGCATTTACCTCCTTTGCATGACCATACATAGAAACTTATTTCTTCCCCTAAATTGAAGCCTATTGAAACAAGCTTCAATTCACTGCATGTACCACATCTCCTGATTCTCATCACTGCATTTGAAAACATAGGTCCATCTTTAAGCTCATATATATCAAAAGACTCTCGATCCAATTTTCTCGGGGGGGGGGGGGGGGGGGGGGGGGGGGGGGGGGGGGGGGAACTCTTGAACTCCTTCCATTAGCTTTTCCTTTTACTTTGCACTCATTCCTCTCCTGTATAGATCTCTGACCTTCTCCCAACTACTGCTACAATCATCTTCATGATTTTCATCAGTTGTCACTAGATTGGCCACACATTTCACAAAATTAGGAACAACATCATGATTCAGTTCCTTAACTTTGTCATCATCCCTTAATGTGGTATCCAACTTTTTGCCATTATCATTTTCTTCCTTACCCCTCAACCACTCAAGTCCCAATTCTTAAGTATATGTCAGCAGCCCTGACATGCCTCCAATCCATGTTAACAGCAGCAAGCCTTCTGGTCGCATCTTCAATAACTAGTATATTCTCCACCTCAAATTCAGCAATCACCCGCAAAAAGAACCCCAGTGGCTGCATCTTCCTCATCAGTCATCGAACAATCTTCAACATCATTTAATTCGTCAACTTTATCTATGCTCTCACCTACCAACCAGACTTCCATCCTCTGAATTCACAACCTCTTCGGGAACATTACTTTAGCAATGCTCTCACCGCCTGAAGAAACTTCGACCTTATCTTCAACTGCCACTGGAGTCAGAATTTCTAAGTTCACATCATTATTTCTTCCTTTGGCAATTCCTCATATGAATCAATCGCCTCCTCAAAAGAAAACTCATCTTCCAAATCCTTCAGTTCACTAGACTCGGCCACAACATGTACAACACCACTCCCATTGGTTTCTACCTGTCGAATCCCCAGCAAACACCTGCCTCTTTTTCCTTAACTTCTCCAACGTCAACTTCCCATCAAACCTAGGTGAGTTACACTGCTTAGGCTACCATTGCCCTTTGGAATAGAACAATCCGATCATTCATTTTTGCTACACTGAAACCCAGAATCCAAAAACTGCAATCAAAGTGTATCCAAGAATCTCCTCCACTTAACCGAAGTCGGGAGGGACTTATCCATCCCTCCAGTTCAACTTGTCTTATTGATCACAAAAAAGCTCTCGCTCTCTCTGTCTCTACCTCTCTGTAAATCTGGAGACTCCAAAGGGCTCCAGCGCCCTCTCCAGCTAACGAAGGGCACCTGGGAAGTTGAGTCATGGAGGGACCAGGTTGGCGACAAAGTGGCGGTCCAAAACGTGGCTGAGTGGCAGTGGGTAAGGATCAAGGTCTACTCCGTTGCAATAGCGGACTTGGGAAACACCAATAAAACGAAAATGGCAGATTTGGACGCGAGACAAGTACCTTTCCTACCGCCAACACTACCGTCTCATCTAGGTTCTGCAACAACACTTTGTATTCGGCAGAATCGACATAATACTTCATCCCATCAGAATCTTCGCCCAATCAAGAATTCGATTCCTCCCTGTCTTGGATCTGGCTGCAAAATCGCAAATTCAGAGGCAGAGTCTTCATCCACGGCAATGTTCCTGATCGATTGATTGCCTCCATCTCCTCGCTAAGCATAGCTCCATTTCTCTACCACGTTCTCGTTCAAATTCACCTTCATTGAAAGTCCTCATCTTCCTCCATGTCTACCTGGCCTTATACTTCATTCTCTCGCTCTCTACTTTAGCCACGGGGTGCCATCCATTGCGCTTTTCTCCACC